GTCAACGCACAATCTATCCAGGCAACAACCACCCTATCTGATCATGGATCCGCTGTCAATCAGTGACACACATGACAATCGCGCAAAATACTATGTGCACTAACAAAAGTGTATGTATATTTGTCGTTGTGACACGTCTTCAACGATGCACTGACAATGATGGATATTCAAACGCGAAAACACGCACGTATACACACACATGTATGCTGCCAATCTTCATAACTGACATATGCAGAAGACACGCACGCTGGGGAGGCACGTTTTTGTTCGACGCAAACTATCGACATTGCCAAAGGGCAAATTGGTCAACAGTACTACCACTGCTACCTCACTCGGACTCTCCTGATCAAGCACATCCACACGTGTGGTGGATCGGGAATACACAGGCAGTTCCCGATGGGCAAAAAGCTGAATTCGGAAGTCTGTGATCAGCCGTTGTAGGGATTAAAAGTATCGTTATTCGTTTGGTGCAGACAGATTAATTTGAGACAATGTATCACTCGTGCATGCATATGACAAATTGCACCATTTCTAGGCCACATTCCAACAGATAAAGTCAAACAATCCTGTCATTGTCTGATAATCAAATACAGATGATGAGCGTGTGCGTGTGTGTCTAGCTCCACTAACCGATTTGAAGCAAGTTGACACCATGAACTGCACACGGGACTACCTATGCGAAATAACAGATGTTTAGCCTTAGGAGGATCGTATGGTCTGGGATTGAAAGCAATTTATTCAGTACCAGACCGGTTCGTGGAGTTCATTACTAGAAGGCCCAGCCTTCTGATGGATAAAATCACCTTTTAACAATGCAGAGACAAGGTGTCGGTCATCATTGAAAATTGTGAGAAATCAACCGCAGTGCGTATACACTGAATCCACTACGATTTGAAACCGGCCCCGTGCGGTTGTCAATCGAACGCGTTAATCATTCGACCATCTCCGCATGACCAACACACTTTTCACAAAAAAAGAACACTTACACTTAACTATTATTGATGTGTCCATAGATGGATAGACAAGAACTGTTTCAGTGTCACAACGTGTGAGTAACTTTGGGTAGGCGAGTGACTGCAACGAACAGCCACAACATTTACTGTCCTCCAAACAAGCAAGAAAACATCACATGGTCATCAATGTGTAAAGCCTCTCGTTGAAAAATCATACGAAATGAGTATCATGAGAACGCAATGTAGATACATATGCCAATGAGTAATAATTTGAATAACTCTGTCAGCGGACCAATGTGATCGTGGTTGGGGACATTTGTGATTGTATTTAACAATAATCGAACGATTAACGAAAGATCACAAACACAAAACAACAACCACATGCACATAGTATGTAATCCAAATGGTGAAACAACTGGCAAGGTACATCTGATTTGAAAGAAACAAATTATCGGCCAATCACATGGCGCAGTGAGGTCTACTTGACGTCCTCCGAGGGACAGATCAATCTGCTCCCACAACACAGCTGGAATAGTTGCCCAAGCAGGGTTATCGAAATGCTCGGTCCAAAAAATCCCAGAAGTGACTCGATCCACGCAATGTCGCAAAAGGCTTTCCAAATCACGGTGGCCCTCAGTTCGGTTGAAAAATACTCGTGTCTTTCTAAGTTACAAAAGTATTGCTGTCTGTGGCAGTTATTGTACGCGACGATCACTGGTATTCGAGGTCATGGAAACATACAACTTTGAAGCGCTTGTTATTTGGTTGGATAAAGTAAACAGAAGTTGCCTTACAACCTGTTACAAAAGTTTACGCTTTATTTCACGTTCCTTATTAGATGTATAACAGCTTTAAAGTTTTTGGATAGCATTCCTTGATCAGGGAATTTCTTCGGCAAACTTTTACTTGTATCTGAATCGTTGTCTGCGATGTTCACTTCCTGTCCCATGCAAGATAACCTGTCACAGACGACACATTATCTTTCCGTGTGATAGGATGGAACTTCTCCGCTCTCAACTGGTTGAAGTCACGTAACGAGTGCACCTGCGTGATGCTCTGTTTCTCAACTGGGTACAGAGACAAAGAATAGGCACTGTCAATGATCCAATGCGAACATGACATCGAATTCAATGCATCAAAATATACGGTCGAATATCTCCGTCACAAAGCTATATTTCCGTAGTTCTTGGGAAATCAACAGCTCCCGTATGTCTCGAATGAGAAGGATCTCGGTGACATTGTTCATGACGACCTAAGTTGTTCTTTAAACTGCTCGAGGGCATCGTCCACAGTTGCAGGACATGTTCATTTGCTAAAGCGAGTATTTAGCGAATTCGAAACAACGCTGTTCCCACGTTTGTTAGTAGCCTACATTCAACCCCAAATAGAGTACGCCAATCAATCGTGGAATCCAGGGCTGCAAGGCGATTGTAAGATTCTGGAACGTTCACAAAAAATGGTTACTACAATGGTCAAGGGACTGCATCCCAAAACTTACGTGGAAAGAGTGGAATCATCCACACAGTATGACCGAATTCGAGGAGATTTGATTTTGGTGTATGAAANGTTCACTGTTCGCCTTGTCACCCAGCACTCACCTCAGGGGGTACTCCACCAATTAAGTGCTCCAAAATGTCAACTACAATACCGGTCTCACTAATTTGCCCTCAGAGTGTGCAGTACTTGGAATTCTCTACCACCTCACGTTGTTTCATCACACATAATTGTTATTCAAGCAAAATCTAGGTGAAACATTGTCAAGTCTTAAATTTCGACACGAAACGAGGATAATTCGTGACATTCCTCATCTTTCTATGGACGGCAAATCGATCCAGTTATACGATAGAACCCTACGGGACAAGAAAGGCAACAGCTTATAATTATTTCCCATAATAACACTTTGGCTTTAACTTTGTAGCATACAATGACGAACTCATCGATAATTAGTCGCTTTTCTCTCTCTTTCCATTCTGCCACGATGGCTGAGGTCAGACGGAATGTGAATTTCGGCCTCCTTCCGCCTCCTCCTCTTCGTTCTCTTCGTGAGTCTCATACGAAACCGTTCAACCATTCACTTTATGTGCCTACTCCTAGATTGTTGATTCCGGATTTCCGAAGGTATAGATCTTCATTTACTCTGCCCAGAAGTAATGCGTTCGCGACCCCCGTGATCTGACGTCTGTGCTCACCCATTTACTCGATTCATATTTAGCTGCCGATGCAAATCTGACAATCGGGTACATAATGACCTATATTTATTGATAGAAAAGATGAAAGAAAGCTTTTTCACCGAGGATACAACATACAACACACCGACATACAAAACAACATCACTTCCACATACATGTTTCCTCTAACTCACATTAATTTTTGCATACATAATCAGCTAGTTTTGAATTAAATTCACCTCCCTCTTGTTCTCAGACAAAAAAACAGTTTCAAAGAATAGGATCTACTCCTCCCACTGGAATGAATATG